CATAGCATCTACCAAGCATAAATCAATGCGTGAGTACGTATGATGCACTTGTGAGAAATAAGTATAGTCCCTCCCGCTGGGGTAGAGGCTACGCCATGCATCGTAGAGGTTGTGTGTGTGGAGGAGTGTGGCAAGTTTACGGCTCAGTGATGTGGCCTGGTGTAGGGTTTTTTTTATTTGAGCCTTTTGTATGTCTATGTTGGGATCCAGTGTGCAATTGAAGTCCCTACATATAACAGTGTGCCCTTGTCTAAGAGTTGCCACTTTGGCAAGTGCGGATTGTAAGAAGGAGGCCTGGGCTTCGTTTGGGGCATATAACGAGACCACTGTGACTGTGATGCCATTTAGCGTGCCCACCAGTATCAATAACCTTCCCAGTTTGTCCTGATATATCCCTGTCTGTTGAAAAACCCAGTCTTGGTGAAACAGTATAGAGACGCCTTTGGATTTGTGTGGTGAGAGAGCATGGAAAATTTGGGGGTAGGAAGTTGGTTTGAAGGACGGAGGATGGTGTGTGCACAGGTGAGTTTCTTGTAAGCAGACTATTGCTGCTTTAGACTTGTGTATCTCTCTAATAGCCGAATGCCTCTTGAATGGGCTGTTCAGGCCATTAACGTTTAGTGAGAGACACTTAAATTGGTGTGACATTCTTCCGGGTGTAGGGGATCTGAGTGTGACCGCGTAATCTTAGAGTGGGGCAAGTTATTACATCTGCTCCAATAATGTGTCCAACGTGGGTTGGATCAGTGTAGTGACCCCTATCATCGTGTACCTGGAATCTATTCGGTGGTAAGTTACCTTGATCATGAGACGAGCAAAAACTCGGGGGGGTGGAGGGTGAGGAAAAACATAAGGCATAAGCATAAACATGGGAAAAGAACTCTCTAGAAGAGTGGGAATACCAGGAGCTGGCTAGGTGACTAATGGCTAAAATACTAATACATAGAGATAAATATAAATATTAAAAAAAAATATAAATATAAAAATATATATATGGTACTATGCCTTTAAATCTGGAATGGACAAAGTATCCCTATAAATGTGCAAAAATGTGAGTAAAAGTGCTATGAGTGGAGATCTCAAATAAACGGGATATCCCTTTAAATGTGCAAGAATACAAAGAGAATGCTGCTATACCTTTAAATGTCCTTTAAGAGTGTGCAAACATGCAAAGCAGTGCCATATAAGGGGGGTAAAAAAAAAAAAATAAAAAAAGTGTATATATATATATATATATATATATATATATATATATATATATATATATATATATATAAATAAAATACAAAAATGCAAAAAGGGGAAAGATGAGAGACCAAATTCTCTGCTGGATGACCAAAAAATATGTATGAAACTGGTGTCTATATCCCAAACAACATGAGGGATAAATGATACCTGTTGCAAATAATATACTTAGTAAAAGATAGAAGTAAAAAATAAGCTATACAGTACAAGGAACTGTTAGCTTTAGGCAATAAAAATTAAAACAATATATCGCTGGAAAACTGAAGCATAAAACTGGATCACTTCATATAAGAAAAAAATGCCAGTTTATTGAATATAATAAAATAACTTTGGAAAAAGTTAAATATAAAAATACAGGTCACACTAGATTCAGAAATGCATTACCAGACTGAAGCATTGAAAAATAACAGCAAGGACCTTCAGATTGTTAAGGATGGATATGGATTGTGATGATTCAATATACAGCTGCCGGTGAGGATGGCTTGTGTCTGTGAGCACGTCCCGAGCAGGAGCCTCACTTCAGGGGACGTGCAGGACAGATGCCTCCGGTGGCGGTACTTTCCAAACAGGTCCTGCGTGTGCAGATTAGTGGTGCTGCTGGTACATGCGTCTGATCCCGTGTGTTGCTGGAATGCCTGTCTTACGCGTTTCGTAGGGAATGGGCCCTACTTCATCAGAGACATAATAGTGTCTAGTGCTTCAGTTCTTCTTTATATACATTGCCTAATTATCAATCACATTTAGGTGTTCAAACCAATATATTCTATACTAATAAAAACAGTATTTGTACCTGCATAAAATGATACATACATATACATAAAATGCAAATCATTGCCACTAGGGTAAAAACAATATTTATAAAGTCTCATAAAATGTAGACAGATACATAAGACCGGTAAATGTAAAAATACATAAAAGCAATATATGAATGTTCCAAATGGAAGGAACATATTTAATGAATCAATTAGAGATAATGAAATGCTGGACATAAATTGGTATATATACATGAAGATGGATAAAATCATAATAGTATATTGACTACATATGGATAACCAATACTAGATAGGTACCATATAGGTATAGTGTCAATCCATCCTTCTAGGAGAAAACAGGAGAACAAATAATAGTTAATATATACAAAATAGATAATAAATAAATAAATGAATAATCCCTGGTGGTAGTCTGTAACTATAAATAAAGGTGGAAGAAAAAAAAAAAAAAAAAAAAAAAAAAAAAAAAAAAAAAAAAAAAAAAAAAAAAAAAAAAAAAAAAAAAAAAAAAAAAAAAAAAAAAATAATAAATAAATAAATAAATAATAAAGATATATTATAGGAAAGCATTAAGCTCAAAATCTACATTAAGTCCCTTAGGGACCAAAGTCCCTAACTTAAAAATCCACTTCGCTTCTGTCTGATCTAGAGCCTTATCAATGCTGCCTCCTCTCCAGTGGGTATTCACTTTCTCAATAGGCATAAATGCAAGTCCTGTGGGGTCTCCCCCATGTATCTCTTTAAAGTGCTTGGAAAGATTATGCGTTGGAAGTCCCTTCTTAATATTTCTAATGTGTTCAGCAATACGTATTTTGAGGGGTCTTTTTGTACGTCCAATATATTGTTGTGGGCATGGACATGTTATTAAATAGATAACTCCTGATGTAGTACAGTCCATGTTGGTCTTGATATCATATTCCTCTTGAGTGGTGTGGGATTTAAATCCAGTGGTTGTGTCTTCTAATGATGGATTATTTCTACATGCTAGACACTTCTTGCATCTTGTGAAGCCACTGATGGTACCTTGATCCAAATCAGCACTTTCAGGTTTAGTGGTCGGTGCCAGCATAAGTTGCAGGTTGGGTGCCCTAGTAAAAATAATCTGAGGTTGATTGTCGAGGAATTTAGATAACGTTGGATCATTCTTAAGGATCCCCCAGTGCTTCCTAAGTGTCTTCTGTATTGTATGAAATTGATGATTATATTTAGTGATAAAGGTGGGTGCTGAATTGGATACTTCTGTGGTGCTGGGTTTATTGCATAAGGTATCCTCTCTTGGGGTGGTAAGTGCTATATCCATAGATTCTTCTAATAGCGTTGGGGGATAACCCTTTTTCAGGAATCTCTGCTTCATTTCTTCCATTTGTGACTTACACACTTCATTATTCGAGCAGTTGCGTCTTACCCTCCTGAACTGGTTCTGAGGTATGTTTCTTAACCATGTTGACTTGTGATGACTGTTAAAAGGAATAAAACTATTACAGTCCACATTCTTCTTAAAAGTCTTGGTGTTGATTTGTCCCTCTTTGATATAGATATCCAGATCTAAAAATTCAATGTGTTCTTTAGAGTGGTTAAAAGTAAAGTTCAGATGATATGGGTTGTTGTTAAGATAAGTTTTAAAACTCTCTAAGGATCCAAGGTCTCCTTTCCATATAAAGAAGCAATCGTCGATATATCTGAGCCACAGGGACAGATTTGCGCCAAATGGGCAATGGGTCCATATATATTCTTCTTCCCATTTGCCCATAAATAAATTAGTGTAACTTGGCGCAAATCGTGTCCCCATGGCTGTGCCTTCAATCTGTAGATAAAATAAGTCATCACACCAAAAATAATTATGTGTGAGAATAAAAACGATACACTGAATGAGGAAATCAATTTGGTCATTTTTTAAATCGGAATATGTTGCTAGGGAGAATTGTGTGGCCTCACATCCTTGGAGGTGTTCAATTACTGTATAGAGAGAGGTAACATCAGCAGTGACTAAAATCATCTCATCTTCCCACTTAAAATCAGATAAAATGTTTAAAACTTGAGTGGAATCTCTGAGGTAGGATTTTAAACAGGAGACCAAACGTTGCAAATATTGGTCAACGTATTCAGAAAGGTTTGAGGTGAGGGATCCAATTCCTGATACGATTGGCCTTCCAGGAGGTTTCACCAGTCTCTTATGTATTTTTGGTAGATGGTAGAATACCGGTATCCTTGGGTATTGGACATACAGATATTTGTATTCTCTTTCATTTAAAATCCCTCTATCCTTTCCGTAATTCAGTATTTCCTTAAGTTCGTCTTGATATTGGATAGTGGGATCACCTTTCAATTGCAGATACATATTGGTGTCTCCTAATAATCTCCGATTTTCCTCCCCATAATCGCTGGTATTGAGAATAACCAATCCACCACCTTTATCCGCTGCTTTTATTGTGATGTCTTCAGATCTCATGAGTTGTTTGAGTGCATTCCTTTCTTTTCTGGTCAAATTATCTTTCGTGATTTTCTTGGTGATTTTGCTCCTAAAGTCTTTCTCGACCATTTTTTCAAATACTCGAATGGAGTCATTTTTCATGTGTTGTGGATAAAAAGTGGAGGTTGGGTGTAGCCCAGTGTGAGTATAATCCAAATCTGTTTCTTGTTTTGCCATGTCTTTTTCAAGGAAGAATTTCTTAATTGATAACTTCCGTATAAATTTGTGTAGATCTATAAAAACGTTAAAATCTGAATTCTTGGATGTAGGAGCGAACTTAAGGCCTTTTTTCAGAAGGGATGTTTCATCGGAGGTAAGGGTCCTATTGGATAAGTTGAAAATATTTATTTCCTCCTTTTCTGTTGTGTCTGTTCTTCGTGTAGTTCTGCTTCTTCTTCTAGATCTCTTAATGTTCTTTTCTTTCTCACATCCGGAGACATGAAATCTTCCACTGAGAATCTCTTGGGGGGGAATCCTCCCCCGTTTCTCTAAAAAATCATTCTCAGTGTGAATACTGGAGATATGTCTTTGATTATTCTCCAAGTTAGTCTTTCTGTGATCTGGGGGAAGAATTCTAGGGCTTGGGGATGATGTTTCCTTAAAGTCAGACGATTTTCCACTTCTAGATACAAAGGAGGTCTGTCTTGGATAATGTTGGTATCTTCCTTGATCTCGATACTCTGTGTTTCTGTGTTCATACTCTGTCTTTCTGTGTTCATATCGTTGATGGTGTTGGTTATATGTGACTCGTTGTTGCCTGTTCTGTGGTGGTCTGTTGTATGTCCAGTCATTAGTGGAATATTTTCTAGGGGTCTTCCGGGATAATAGAGCATCCCTATAGGACTGATGGTATTGGGGTCTAGGTTCTGTTCTATGCTTGATAGGAGAATTGTGAAATGGTCTCCTATCTTTCTTCCAATTTCTCTGGATTTGATTCCTATAGTCGGCCTGATCCCTCATTATTTTCTTTCTTTTGACTTCCCTGATGTTTTCTTCTATGTCCTTCACTCTCTTTTCAATTTTTTCCAAAAGGCCTATATAATCGCCACTCTCCACTAGAGGTCTGATAGAGGCCTTTAATTCAGTAATTTCATGATCTAGTTGGGTCAAATCTTTTTTCTTTTCATTAATGAGAAACACCATTAACAGTAATGAACCCTTGTCCAATAGCTGATCCCACTTTTTAAGTAAGGTCTGATCATGACGTTTGTATGTGGACCGTTTAAATAGTCTTAAGCCTCTAGGTACTATGTTGTTGTTCACATAGAAATCTAAAGTGGCTATGTCCCACCACACATGGACCTCTTTCTCCATAGTTTTACCTAGTTGGTAAATGAGGGATCTAACACTGTCTGACTTTCCCTGAGATGGGGGGATAGTTTCAGTTGTGGGTAAATCACTCTCCTTCAGTGACCAGGTGTCCATGAAGGATTTTCTGTCTAGCCTAATAGAATCAATATTCCTGCTTAAAGCCATAGTCTTACTCAAGAAACCTCAAAAAGTGAAATTAATAGGGTAAGTAGAACAGTTCTGGTGTACCTAATATACCACACAGGAGAGAGGGAGACAGACTAGCACTAAGCTGCTCGAAAACTGGTAATGATAGGGATTCACTAAAAACCTATATAGAACAAGGGAAAAGAACTCTCTAGAAGAGTGGGAATACCAGGAGCTGGCTAGGTGACTAATGGCTAAAATACTAATACATAGAGATAAATATAAATAAAAAAAAAGAAATATATAAATATAAAAATATATATATGGTACTATGCCTTTAAATCTGGAATGGACAAAGTATCCCTATAAATGTGCAAAAATGTGAGTAAAAGTGCTATGAGTGGAGATCTCAAATAAACGGGATATCCCTTTAAATGTGCAAGAATACAAAGAGAATGCTGCTATACCTTTAAATGTCCTTTAAGAGTGTGCAAACATGCAAAGCAGTGCTATATAAGGGGGGTGTAAAAAAAATAAATAAAAAAAATAAAAAAAAAGGTATATATATATATATATATATAAATAAAATACAAAAATGCAAAAAGGGGAAAGATGAGAGACCAAATTCTCTCAGTTGATGACCACATATATATACACTTTTTTTTTTCTCCACTCATAGCACTTACCCACATTTTTGCACATTTATAGGATACCTCTAACCATTCCAGATTTAAAAGGCATAGTACTGCTAAGTATATTTTTATATATTTATATTTCTTTTTTTTTTTATATTTATATTTATCTCAGTATTAGTATTTTAGCCATTAGTCACCTAGCCAGCTCCTGGTATTCCCACCTTCTAGAGGAAGTTTCCTTTCCTCATTCTTATATAGGCCTAGTGAATCCCTATCATTACCAGTTTGCGAGCAGCTTAGTGCTAGTCTGTCTCCCTCTCTCCTGTGTGGTACATTAGGTACACCAGAATCGTTCTATTTACCCTATTAATTTCACTTTTTGAGATTTCTTGAGTAAGACTATGGCTTTAAGCAGGAATATTGATTCTATTAGGCTAGACAGAAAATCCTTCATGGACACCTGGTCACTGAAGGAGAGTGATTTACCCACAACTGAAACTATTCCCCCATCTCAGGGAAAGTCAGACAGTGTTAGATCCCTCATTTACCAACTAGGTAAAACAATGGAGAAAGAGGTCCATGTGTGGTGGGACATAGCCACTTTAGATTTATATGTGAACAACAACATAGTACCTAGAGGCTTAAGACTATTTAAACGGTCCACATACAAACGTCATGATCAGACCTTACTTAAAAAGTGGGATCAGCTATTGGACAAGGGTTCATTACTGTTAATGGTGTTTCTCATTAATGAAAAGAAAAAA